CATGGGAAGGGGAGGGCGGGGGCAGCTGGGGCTGGCTGGTTTCTTGGGCCGGAGAGGAAAACACTCTCTCGGAGCTGTTGCGGTTTAGAGAGGGGAATTCGCCATCACCCAGATGGAGCTGCTGCTTCTTCTTCCCTATTCACTGGTGGCCTCACACCCTCTGTCCTGCCAGGACGTGTGGCAGTGCCAACCACCACTGTGGAGCTGCTGATGCTCCTCAACCACTGGCCCGGGATCTCAGCTCATCCCTGCTGGTCCAGCTGAGTGTTCCTCAGAGCCCTGCAGGAGCACCAGGACTGCCCTGTCGTTCCGATTGGGAACGGCGATAAAGAACGACACGGACTCTCAAGGGAGTCACAACACGAGAATTCCCCGGTTTATTACTTCAGGCCTGTTTTATAGACTGGTACGTGGAAAGTACAGAAAAGAAACTCACCATCATTGGTCAGGGGGGCTCACCACCCCCCTGACTCCCTCCTGCAAGGAGAACAAGAGGACAGACAAACAGCACCTGGCAGTTGTTTTCTGTCTCTGAGGATTGTTTTGAAATCCTCCTTTGAATTCCCAGGCTAGCTTCTCAGGCAGGACTGAGAGGCCATGGGCCTGCAGCCTGCTCCAAAGCTAGCATCCATAATTCACCCTTTCTGTTAGAAAAAATAAAAAAGCAGTGTTTCTTACATCTTACTGGGCCCTTGTAGGACAGAGAACAAACACAGCTCAAGAGGTTTCTTTACTAGAACTTTAAATGGATGTTGATTTTGAATTTTGGTTTACATTTTGATGTTTAAGAATTGTTTTCCTTGCAAGGACTTGATGGTTGAGTTTAATATTTCTAATTCAGTGAATTAATACATACACTATATACAACATTGTTAGTCTGTTCGAATTGACAGTCTAACTTGTCAATAGAGTAGTTTGAAAGAACACTAAAGTGATAAAACTCACATTAAATACACTTAAATTTATAAGTAAAACTCTACTCAATTTTACTATGCAAAATCCATAAACTTTTTACAAATTAATTAACAATGTACAATGCAATTTATGATGCTTTGATCCCCCCTTCTTATCTCTTTTTTTTTTTTTTTTTCATTGGATTTTCTCTTCAAATATAATTGAGGGGTTTTTGAGGGATTTATAAAGTTTACATGGTTGTTGTTATTGTTCGTCGGGTTTTTTGACTGGATTGTGCTGAATGAGGAAGTTTATGGAGGTTTCACTAAGGATGGAAGTAGTTCATGAATTTCAGGAGGTTCAGGGAATTCGAAGTTACTATCTCTTCGCGGTTGGTTGTCAGCTCTGTAAACACAAAACTTAAAAGGTACAAGGTGAGTAAATTTGGGTCCCGCAGGGACTGCAGGACTTTGGCTTGGCTCAGGCTACTGGAGCTGACGGAC